CGCAGGCGGGTCGCGATGGTGAAGCTGTTCATCGGGAACCTGCCGCGGGAGGCGACGGAGCAGGAGATCCGCTCCCTGTTCGAGCAGTACGGGAAGGTGCTGGAGTGCGACATCATCAAGAACTACGGCTTCGTGCACATCGAGGACAAGACGGCGGCCGAGGACGCCATCCGCAACCTGCACCACCACAAGCTGCACGGCGTCTGCATCAACGTGGAGGCCAGCAAGAACAAGAGCAAGGCCTCCACCAAGCTGCACGTGGGCAACATCAGCCCCGCCTGCACCAACCTGGAGCTGCGCGCCAAGTTCGAGGAGTACGGCCCCGTCATCGAGTGCGACATCGTCAAGGACTACGCCTTCGTGCACATGGAGCGGGCGGAGGACGCGGTGGAGGCCATCCGGGGGCTGGACAACACCGAGTTCCAGGGTGAGCTCGGGCCGCGGGCGGCGGGGAGGGCTCGGGGGTTCCCGGCGGAGGGTCCCGCTCCCCCGTCCCAGGTGTGACCACGATCGGCTCCGGGCGCTCGCCCGCCCGCCCTCCCCTCGCTGCCATGAAGCACCACCGGGGTTTCGGGGTTGGTGTCGTTCGGTGCCCCCCGGCGCGGCTCCCGGTGCGGCCGGAGCGAGGGCTCGGGGCTCGGGGGCGCTGGGCCGGGGAGGACGGCACTGACCCATCTCTGATTAACCAGCACGGCCGCCCCGCAGGAGGACCCCGACGGCGACGTCCTGTGCCGGGCCGGAGCAGCGGGTGACGCCAGGCTGCCGCCCGCCCTTGTAGCCTTGCCCAGCCTGGTAAGAGGGTGACGGAGGCGCCGACCCCGCGCCCGGCGTCGCTCGGGCGCTCGCCTGGGCCGAGCGGCCGGGCTCGAGCCGCGGCGATGGCGGCGGCGATGGCGAGCGCGTCTCCCGGCCGGGTGCTCAGGGCGGCGTCCGGCGCTTCACCCGCGTGGCGGCGGCGGCGGGGCCGGGGCCTGCCGGGGCTCCGCACGCCCCGCTCGGGGCCTTCCCCAAAACGCCGACCCAGCCGGGACGGCGCGGCCGCGCCCGGAGCTCCCGCGGCCACGCTCGGCTTTGCCTCGTGCCCCGTTCGTGCCGGGGCCGTTCCCGGCGTCACGTCCCTCTTGCCGCCGCTCTGGCGTTTTCCGGCGGGAAGCTTTGCCGTCGTACGGGGCTGGCGGGGCCGGGGCCTGTCCCCGGGCTGCCGGGGCTTTGCCGGGGCGGCCGCGGTGGCACCGTCCCGGTAAGTCGGTGTCCGGTGTCCGTCCAGCGGCTCTCGCTCGGTCCCGTGGCGGCTCCTCCCGTGCCGGTCGCTGTGGAGGGCTGGGGAGGCGGCGGCCGGTCCCGTCCCGTCCCATGCCGGTGATCCCGCGCCGGGGCGGCCGCACTGACCGTCCCTCTCCCCTCTCCCCAAGGCAAGCGGATGCGCGTGCAGCTGTCCACCAGCCGGCTGCGGACGGCGCCCGGGATGGGAGACAAGAGCGGCTGCTACCGCTGCGGGAAGGAGGGGCACTGGTCTAAGGAGTGCCCCGTCGATCGCCCGGGGCAAGTGGCGGACTTTGCCGAGGCCTATAACGAGCAGTACGGAGCCGTGCGCGCTCCCTACGCCGCGGGCTATGGGGAGACCGTGTATTACGATGAGGCCTACGGCGGGATGGCCGACTACTACAAGCGCTACCGCGTCCGCTCCTACGCCACGGCCTCCGCGTACGACGCCTACGCGGAGCAGACCATGGCCCAGTACTCCCAGTACGCCCAGTACTCCCAGGTCCAGTCCTCGGCCATGGCCGCCACCACGGCCATGGCCGGCCGCCTCCCCGCCGCCCTCGACGCGTACGACCGAGCGCTGCTGCCGACCCCGGGCGCGGCGGCCGCCGTCGCCGCCGCCGCCACCGCCGCCGCGGCGGCCGCCTCCTCCACCTATTACACCCGGGACAGGAGCCCCCTGCGCCGCACGGCCGCCGCGGCCAGCACCGTGGGAGAGGCGTACACGTACGAGCGTGGCCAGCTCTCGCCCGTCTCCTCGGTGGCCCGGGCCTCGCTCTACGACATGCAGCGCTTCGGGCGGGACCCGTACGCGGACCGGGCGCGCTATTCCGCCTTCTGAGCCGGAGGTGAGCGTGTTGGCGGCACTCGGTGCCGCGGGGGGCCCCCGCTGCCGGTGGTCCCGGTTGTGCCAGTTGAGCTCGAGGCGGGTGACGGGTCGCGGTGACGCAGATGGGCCCCCGTGACGCGGACGGGCCGTGCCGGGGTCCCGCGGGCGTTAAAGCCCGGCCGTGCCCAGGAGGTGCCGCGGTGAGCGGGGTCGGTGCCGGCGGTCGCTCTCGCGGCCGTAACTCAGGTTCCCGCCGGGCCAGGAGACGTCCTGGCACGGTCCCCGCAGGGTGGGGGGTTCCTGCAGAGCCCCCGGGCCGTGGCTGCCACGATCACCCCCCGGGGTAACTCCAGGCTGGAAGGGCTCTGCCCCGGTCCCGGCGGGCCGGAGGGTCCCGGTGGCCGCTCGGAGCCCCCGCTGCTGCTCCACGTCAGGACTCTCCGGTTGCTCCCAGGAAAGCCGCAGCTCCCCGGGGTGCCGGGGCTCGGCACGGTCTCGGGGGGCCCCTGCGCCAACTGCTCTTTTCTCTTTCAGGTAAGATTTGTGCGGCTGGACGTCGGGGTCCCGTCGCACGCCGATCGGCGCCGCGCGTCTCGGGCCGCGCCGGGTCCCAGCGCCGCCGCGTGCCGCTCCCCAGCCGGTTCCCCACGGACGCGCGGCTCGGCCCCGGCCCGGGCAGGATTAGCTCAGCCCTTCCCCCTCCCCAGCTCCCCCCGCCCCCCCGGGCAGGATTTTGCTTTTCCAGGTGGTTTTGGGTCCCCGCCCCCCCCCCGGGGCTCAGGTGCCGCCGTCCCCCAGCGCCAGCTTTGCTTTGCTTCGCCGCCCCCCTGTCGCTCCCCCCGGAGCTGCCCCGAGTCGTCGTTTGCCTTTTTTTCCTTTATTTCCGAGGGGCTGGAGAAGCCCGCGGTAGGTTTGTAGCCCAAGGCTGTAGCTGACCGGAGCCCGCCGCGCCGGCGGGGGTGGATCCCCCCATCCTTAGCGTCCCCCGACCCCCTCTTCCGGTAAAATAAACCCAGAATTTTTAACAAATGGCGCTGGCTCCGCCCCCGCTTCTTTCTCTGCACTCGAGTCCCCCCAGGACGTGGCGGGGAACCTTTTGGTGGAACCTTTTGGACTCACCGGGGCTGCCCCTGCCCTGCCCGGCTCTGCCAAGGGAGGAGCAGATGAGCTGGGGAAAGGGGGGCACCCCCAAAATAGCCCCCGGCCCCCCAAAAGGGGGTAACAACGAGGCTTTCATGAGCCCCCGGCTCTGCTCCCCACCTTCCCTGCGCCCTCGGGGGTTTTCCTCCTCGTTTTCCTCCTCACGGGCAGCCCGAGCAGCAAATTAACCTGCCCGGGGCTAATTAGTCCCCAGACTGGCTGGTTTGTCCAAATTAACCTGCCCGGGGCTAATTAGTCTCCCAGCTGGCTGGTTTGTCCCCCGTTGTCTCGTCGGTCACCCACCTGGCTCCCCGGTCCCCGTATTTATTCAGTGGTCCCCCAAGGGGTTTATTAGTCCCCAACCTGCCCGGTTTGTTCCTAAACCGTCTCCCTCCTCCCCACACGGCTCCTTTGTCCCCGAATGGCCCCCGCCACCCTCCTGCCTCTCCCCCCTCCTGCCTCTCCGTGCTCCTTCTGTTCTTCGGTGACGTCTCCGGTTCCGCCTGCGCTGGCTCCGCCTCTGCCTCTGGCTCGGGGGACGCGTGGCTGCCCTGGAGAGGAGGGGAGAGGCCTTAGACCCTCCTGCCTGGCTAATTAACGTGGTGTTAATGAGCCCCGGCCGGCCCTCGGTCACGGTGGCACAGGTGACTCACGGCACACGCCACCCACCACCCCTGCCACGGCACACACGCGGCTTTGCCCCCTCAAACCCAGGTTTTCTCACCCAAAACGAGGCCGCGGTGCCCGGCAATCCCTCGCGTTCACCGCAGCAGTGTCACGATGGCTCCGAGTCCAGCACTGCTGTCCCGGCGCTCCGGCCCTTCCCGCTGCCGGCACGGCACAGCTCGTGCTCCAAATCCGCCTCTTCCGTGGCGGCAAAGCGGCTCCAGCGCCGGGAGCGGCACCGAAACGGGGGGTCTGTGGTAATGGTGGCACCGGGAGCTGTCGCTGAGGGTGGGAGGGAACCCCCGGGGCCAGGGAAGAACCAGGCGGGAGGCGTCGGGAATTGGGACAGTGTTTATTTACAATCATAAAAAACCCCGGCACCGCGCCGGGCACGACGCTGGAAACGGGGGGGATTCACCCAAAAACGGGGCGACTCACCCAAAAATGGGGCGACTCGTGGTACAAAAAGAGCCTCGGTGGCTTACGAACCGGCACCGAGCGCCAGCGGCGCCACGACGTAACCGCGGAACCCTCTAGAAAAACTCAAATAAAGAGCGGCAAACCGAAAAAAGCAGCTAAAAAAGCCCAGTCCGTGCGACGGGAGCGGCTCACAGGCGGCGCTGGTAGCCCGAGTGGACGCGGGCGGCGGGCAGGTAGTCGTTGTACCCGCCCGAGTACCGGGCGTACTCGGCGTGCGCGTCCGGCAGCCGGCGGTAGTCCAGCGGGGACTTGGTGGGCGAGCGGCGGTAGCCCAGCGGCGAGTCGGCTAAGCGCCGGTAATCGGCCAGGTCGGACAGGCGGCGCTCGGAGCCGTACCTGGGCGAGAGAACAGACGGGGATGAGTTGGGGGGGGGGACGGACGGTGCCCAGATCCTCCCCGGCGGCACCGCATCCCACCCGGGCACGCATCGCGACTGGCACGGCCGGCGCAGGACGGGTCGGGTGCCACGGTGGCTCCGCCGCGCGCCGCCGGCTCCCCCCGCCCCGCCCCGAGCCCCATCCCGCCCCCGGGACGTAGAGCACGAGCGGAACCATCGCGCCCCCCGCGCCGGTGCCACGCCGGTCGAGCCCCGAGGGGCGCGCCGGTGCCCGGCGAGCCGGTGCCCGGCGAGCGGCAGGGGCGGGTGCGGGTGCCCCGCCCGGCGCCGTACCTTTTAGCCAGGGCGGACGATTTTTTGTACGGGTCGTCGTAGACGGCGCTGCGAGGCGGGGACAGGCGGGTGCGCTCGTAGGGCGGTGCGGCGGCGGCGGCCTGAGCCAGGCCCAGGTAGGAGCCCGCCGGCTGCCCCAGCTGGCTCGGCCCGTCGTAGGCGCTGCCCGGCTGGGCTCGGTACGCGGCCGCCAGCGCGGCGGAGGACGGCTGCTGCGCCGGGTAGGACGCCGCCATGGCGCCGGAGGCCTGGGCCCGGTACGCGGCCGTCAGCGGGGCGGAGGCCTGCGCCTTGTAGGAGGCGGCGACGGCAGCCTGGCTGCCGTAGGACGCGGCCAGCGACGAGCCCGCCTGCGCGCCGTAGCCGGCGGGAAGCGCGGCAGCGGCGGGCTGGCTGCCGTAGGATGCGGGCAGGCCGGCGGCAGGCTGGGCGCCGTACGAGGCCGAGTGGCCCACGGTGGGCTGGGCGCCGTACGAGGAGGAGAGCGCGGGCTGGGCGCCGTAGGAGGCCGAGTGGCCGGCCACGGGCTGGTAGGCGGCGGTGGCGTGACCGGTCACCACCTGGGCGCTGTAGGAGTTGGCGTGCACCGCCACGGCCTGGGCGCTGTAGCCGGCGGAGAGCACGGCGCCGGGCTGGGCGCCGTAGGAGCCGGCGTGGCCGTCCACGGGCTGGCCGCCGTAGGAGGCGGCGGCGGGCTGGGCGCCGTAGGATGCCACGTGCGTGGCCACGGCCTGGGCACCGTAGGAGGGGGCGGGGCCGGCGGCGGGCTGGGCGCCGTACGCGGCCACGGCGGGCTGGGCGCCGTAGCCGGACGAGTAGCCGGAGGCGGGCTGGGCGCCGTAAGAGGAGGTCAGGGCGGCGGACTGGACACTGTAGGAGCTGAGGGAGTTGGCGGCGGGCTGGACGCCGTAGGCGGCGGCGGGCTGGGCGCCGTAGGAGCCGAGGGAGTTGGCGGCGGGCTGCGCGCCCGCGGCGCCCAGGGAGCCGACGGAGGGCTGGGAGCGGTAGGCGCTGCCCAGCGAGGCCGAGGGCTGGGCGCGGTACGCGGCCGCCTGGCCCGTGGTGGGCTGCAGGCGATAGGCCACGCCCACGGAGGCCGAGGGCTGGGCGCGGTACGCGGCGCCCAGCGAGGCCGAGGGCTGGGCGCGGTAGGCGGCCGGCTGCGCCGTCACGGGCAGCGTCACCGCCGCGTAGCCGGCACGGGTGGGCGAGCGCCGCAGGGGGCTGCGGTCCCTGCCGAAGTAGGAGGGGGAGCTGGGCCGGGCCGGCGCCTCGAAGGCGTCGTACTTGGCGCCGAAGCGCTGCTGGTAATCGTACAGGGACGAGGCGGTGCCGTAGCCGGCGCCCGCGGCCGAGGGGAAGGCGGCGTCGGCCGCCCGGCGCTGCTGGTCGAAGCCCTCGATCTTGGGCTGGAACTTCTCGCGGTACTCGAGGCCGATGCGCTTGGTCTTGTCGACGCCGAGGGCGGGCGGCGGGGCCTGGCCCCCGCCCTTCTTCTGCACGTTGGTGGAGAGCTCCACGTTCACCCGGCGCCCCTTCACCTCCTTCCCGTTTAGGTTTTCGATGGCAACTTTAGCATCGGCTTCGTTCTCCATGTGCACAAAGGCATAGTCTGACAAAGCAGCAGAGAGAGCAGTGAGGGGAGAAAACACAACTCGTTAGCGGAGCCGGCGCTAACGAGCCGCGCGGCGGCGGGACGGGCGCAGGACGGGCACGGACGGGCCCCGCTCCGCCGGCAAAGACGCGACCGCCTCCATTGCTCCTGCCCAGAGAACCTGCCAGAGCCTGAGGAGCCCCCGCCTGCCCGGCCCCACCCGGCTCACAGCCCCCCCACAGCCCCCCGCTCCCTCTGGCCCCCCTTCCCTGCCTCCTGCACCCCCATGAGGGGGTGGGGGACTCCCCCCAGCCCCTCCCCAGGCACACGGGGACCGAGGGCCCCGGCAGTGTCGGCACCGGGGGCTCAGCTGGGGCGTCCCGGCCGTGAGCGGAGCAAAGCGGAGAGAACCGGCGCCAGCAGAGGGAGGGGGAGAGGGAGGAAAAGGGGGAGAGGGGCGAGAGAGGAAGAGGAAAGGGGGTGGGGGGGACACACAGGAAGAGAACAGGAGAGAGAGAGAGAAGGGAAGGAACTGAGAGAAGAGGACAGGGAGAGAGAGGAATAGAGGGGGGAGAGCGGAGAGAGAAAAAGGGAGATAAGAGAATAAGAAAGGGAGGAAGAGGAGGGGGGAGGTGAGAGAGGAAGGGCCCTGAGCACCCCCTGCGAGTGCCCGGCCGTGGCGAGGAGCCGGTGCCGCGCGGCACAACCGCGGCACAGCAGCGCGGAGGCGTCAGAGAGAGGAGAGCGAGAGCGGGGGAAGCGGGACCCGGGGGCACCCGGCCCAGCGGGTCTGGGATGCCCCCGCGGTAGCCTGGGCTCACCCCCGTGACACGGCGGGTCCGGGGCCGGCACGGGGAGGGCAGCGACCCCGCGGTGCTGCCCCCGCGGTCACAGACCGGGACCACCGGAACCGGCGAGCGCCCACCCCAGGGTGCGCCAGGAGCGTCGCTGGCAGAGCAAACCCACCCTGGACCCTCGAGCGTCTGCACTGAGTCACCTCCTCCTGTGTCCCCTCTGCCATCCCGCCCTCCTGCCTCCCGTCCCAGCAGCCCAAGGAGGGGAGGGGATGTCCCCCCGTGTTCCCCCCAGCCCTCCTGGCACCCCCTGAGCCCGAGGGGACGCGGGTGGGTTCTGCTGGGCTCCGCTGGCAGCTGCGACCTGGGACGAGAGAGCAGAGCGACAACGTCCCCCTCCTGTGGGCGAGGGGACGGCGAAGACGTCACCAGGATGGGGGGGACGCGTGCGTTGTGGGACGTCATTGTGGGACATCACCGGGGTGACACCTGTGTGTGGGGGCACGCGGGGTGACACCAGCGGGGTGACACCTTTGGCACCGAGGTGGGGGAGATGCGGTGACACTGCCACGCTGTGTGTGACACGGGGGTGACACCTTTGGCACCAGGGTCAGGGGGACACGTGGTGGCACTGCCACACTGTGTGACACGGGGGTGACACCTTTGGCACCAGGGTCAGGGGGACACGTGGTGGCACTGCCACACTGTGTGACACGGGGGTGACACCTTTGGCACCAGGGTCAGGGGGACACGTGGTGGCACTGCCACACTGTGTGACACGGGGGTGACACCTTTGGCACCAGGGTCAGGGGGACACGTGGTGGCACTGCCACACTGTGTGACACGGGGGTGACACCTTTGGCACCAGGGTCAGGGGGACACGTGGTGGCACTGCCACACTGTGTGACACGGGGGTGACACCTTTGGCACCAGGGTCAGGGGGACACGTGGTGGCACTGCCACACTGTGTGACACGGGGGTGACACCCGCTCAGAGCAGGGTCAGGGCGAGGGGGTGACGCCATCACACCCCGTTGGGGGTCCCCGGTGTGGAGCCGTGGAGCCCCTGGGGGGTTTCCCGGCTCCCTCGCCCTCAGGGCGTGCCTGTGGAGCAGGATGGGCCGCGGGCTGTCCCAGAGGGTGCAGCGAGCAGGGCCGGGGGGAGGCGGCGCTGGAGGGCGGGACAGCGGGGGTGGGTTTTGGGGGGCGTGGGGAGCCCCGTCAGAGCCGCACAGCCCCGCCTGGGGCGGGGGAGGCGATGGAGGAGGACACGGGTGGCTGGAAGGGGGAGAAGGGGGCGGTTCAGGGGTCGGGGAGCCCACGGGGGCTCGCCGAGCGAAGGCGATGGAAGACATGTGGCTTCAAGGGGATAATGGGGGGGGCTCGGGGGGGCGGGCTGGGGAGCCCGGACAGGCTCGTACAGCCCCACCCGGGGCCGGGGGAGGCGATGGTGGAGGACGTGGCTGCCAGGACGGGGGTTCTGGGGGGCTGCTGGGTCGCCCACACGGGCTCGCACGGCCCCACCTGGGGCTGGGGGAGGTGGCGATGGAGGACGCGGCTGCCAGGACGGGGGTCCTGGGGGGAGGTTCCGGGAGCCCCCACGGGCTCGCACCCCCCGCTCCACCAGCCCGGGCAGCGCCGGGGTCCGGGCGGGGACGGCGCCGCAGTCGGACGGAACTCGGGTCCCTCGGGTCGCCCGGCGGCGCGGGCCGAGCTCGGCGGGGGCCGCGCGGCCCCAGCGGCGGGTCCGGTACCTTTCACCACGTCGCACTCCACCACGGGGCCGTACTGCTGGAACAGCGAGCGCAGCTCCCCGCTCGTGCACGCGGCCGACACGTTCCCCACGAAGATCTTGCAGGTGTTGGTGGGGCGCGGCCGGGACGGCTCCACCACGATGCGGCGGCCGTGCAGCTGGTGCCCGTTGAGCTGCGAGATGGCGCGCGCGGCCGCCGCCTCGTCCCGCAGGTGCACGAAGGCGAACTGCTTCATGAGGGCGATGCCCAGCACCGGCCCCGCGGCACCGGCGAACAGCTCGCTCAGCTCCTCCGCCGTCGCCTCCTCGGGGACGTTGCCCACGAAGAGTTTGATGCCGGGACGCATCGCGGCGGCGGCACCGGCGGGGAGCGGGAGCGGAGCGGGCACGGGCAGCGGCGGCGGCCTCAAAATGGCGGCGGCTCCTGAGGGCGGCGGGGGCGGGGCGGGCCGTGCGCAGCGCGCCTGCGTGCCGTGCGCACCGCCCTCCCCTCAGCGCGCCTGCGTGCCGTGCGCACCGCCCTCCCCTCAGCGCGCCTGCGTGCCGTGCGCACCGTGCGCACCGCCCTCCCCTCAGCGCGCCTGCGTGCCGTGCGCACCGCCCT